TTGGAATATTTTAGCTCGTAATGATATTCAACATGCTGGTGTTCAATATATTCTCGATTCAGTCATTGAATCACTCGTTGAAAATCCTGATCGTCGTTTTGTTTATGTTGAAATAGCCTTTTTTTGGCGTTGGTGGATGCAACAAACTGATGAAATGCGTAATACAGTGAGAGAACTTGTTAACCAAGGTAAATAAATACCGCAAAATTTTTAAATTGAGATTTTGATATTCATTTATTACAACAGGTCGTCTAGAGTTTATTTCGGGTGGATGGTCAATGAATGATGAAGGTGTTACACATTACAATTCAATTATTGATCAACATAGTTTAGGTGCAGAATTTCTACGTGATCAATTTGGAGAATGTGGTCGGCCAAAACTCGGTTGGCAGATTGATCCATTTGGTCATTCACGAGAAGTGGCATCATTATTTGCACAGGTTAATTAGTTAAAATCAAAACATTTGTTTCTATATAAAATATATATTTTATAGATGGGTTTTGATGGATTATTTTTTGGACGAATAGATTTTCAAGATCATATTCAACGAGCTCAAACAAAAAGAATGGAAATGATTTGGAAAGGAAGTTCTAATCTAGATGAACAAAGTTGGCTTTTTACTGGTGTAATACCGAGAACTTATAATGCACCCGATTCTTTTTGTTTCGATTATTTATGTCATGATGAACCGATGAAAGTCAGTTGATATTCATTTATTTATCTTATACTATTTATAATCCATAGGATGATCCAAAATTGCATGATTATAATATACCAGAACGAGTTCAAGCATTTATCGATGCAGCACATAATCAAGCTGATAGTTATACAACAAATCATATAATGATGACAATGGGTAGTGATTTTCAGTATGAAAATGCCGATGAATGGTATAAGAATTTAGATAAATTAATCAAATATGTCAATGCTCAGGTAAGATTAAATAATGAGTTTAATATAAGATCAATATAAATTCTTTTTAGCAAACGAATGGAAGTGATGTTAATATATTCTATTCTACTCCTACATGTTATTTATATGCATTAAACAAAGCCAATCGAACTTGGATAACAAAAACTGATGATTTTTTTCCAATAGCATGGAATCAACATGGATCTTGGACTGGATATTTTACTTCACGGCCAGCATTGAAACGTTTTGAACGTTATTCAAATAATATTCTTCAAGTAACACGACAATTGAATGCATTTTCAAATGCTACACTACGTCACGGAATTTTTCCTTTAAGTATGAAACAGACGGGAAAACAAACTGATTTTCTCTTTTATATAATTAAATAAATATAGGTGAAGCAATGGGTATTGCTCAACATCATGATGCAGTTAGTGGAACAGAAAAACAACATGTTGCTGATGATTATGCTCAACGATTAGCACAAGGCATTGATTCAGCATTGGTATGTGAAAGAATCTGAAAAATTCAATTATCATTGTTTTATTCTAGTATGTTATTAATGAAGCTTATAAAAAATTATTATCAAAAAATACTCAATCATTACCAGTTCCAACACAATATCTTTGTCAATTTTCAAATATTAGCGAGTGTTTAACAATTGAAGGACAAGATAATGTAAGTGAGATTATTATTTGAAACTCATTTTATGGATAAAATATTGAATAGTTTACATTAACAATTTGGAATCCAACCATTCAACTCATTGAAGATATAGTTCGTGTACCAGTAACAAAAAATTATACGATTCATAGTCCAACTGGTGAAATTATTGCAACTACGGTAAGATTTACTAGAAATTTTATTTATATTAATATCCCTTGTTTTTTTTTTGATTGTATAGCTTATTCCAATTTCTTCACCAACAAGAAATATTCCTGGACGAACAAGTTCAGCTGAATATGAATTATTATTTCGAACACCTATACAACCTCTTGCTTTTAATACCTATTATTTCGAAGCTAAAAGTAAAGATTAATTATTTATCTGTCTAATCTATTGCCTTCAATTAGCTCATATGACAAAGGAAACCAAATTACCAACGAGAGTGACAAAGAATCAAGCTTGTATACTTCAAAATCAAGTAATTAATAGGAAGAGAGTTCAAAGAACTGATCGACACGGTTCAGTAAACATCTATAGCGTCTCGTGAGAAATAATAGATCTTTACTGAACTTGTCGATTCCCAGTAATTTGTAGATATTTCTTTGTTTTATATAGCATCTTCGAATTGAATTGGATGAAAAAGGCAATCTAAATAAAATTGTTAACCGTGATAGAAATTTTGAAATACCATTCTCTGCTCATGGTCTATATTGGTATACGAGTAATTATGTTTAACGGATCATAAATATAGTATTTAGTAATTTTTGATTATCTATATGATTTTAGGTTTTCCCGGTAATAATTCTGCTCCAGAATTTCAAGCATCAGGTGCTTATTGCTTTCGTCCATTAACACCCAGTACATTTCCAGTAAGCAGTTCTCGAAATATGTAAGTATTCATATTCTATATTCTTCATCAAAATATTTCATATCAATTAGAACATGTACTTATACGGATGAAGTTCAAACAGCATTGATTATTTACAATCAATGGGCTAGTCAAGAGATTAGTCTTTACGATCAAGGACAAACAATTGAAAATGAATGGATTGTTGGACCAATACCTATTGAAGATCATATTGGTAAAGAAATAATCATGCGATATGATACAAATATACCAAGTAATGGATTGTTTTATACCGATGCTAATGGACGTGAAATGATTGAACGTCAAAGAGATTTTCGATCATCCTATAATTATACAGTCTATGAAAATGTGAGTGGAAATTATTATCCAGTTGCAAGTCGAATTTGGATTAAAGATAATCAAAGACAAATGACAATACTTACAGGTAGAAATTTTTTTGAAATAAAATTTCTCAATTTTTTTTCTCTTAGATCGATCTCAAGGTGGTTCAAGTATGCGTGATGGATCGATTGAACTTATGGTACATCGTCGTACACTTTATGATGATCGCCAAGGTGTTGCTGAACCAATGAATGAAACAGCTTATGGGCAAGGTCTTGTCGTTCGTGGTAAACATTTTCTCATTGTTGAACCACCAGAATTTAGTGCTCTTCATCATCGTATTGCTGCTCAACGTCTTTTTATGAATCCACTAAAGACTTATGCATTACCGAACATGTCCTATGTTAATTATTCAATTAATTATCGTCAAACATGGTCAGCTTTGAATGGAAGTCAACCATTACCAACTAATATTCATTTATTAACTTTTGATCAATTGACATCAAAAGTATTTCTTATACGACTTGAACATTTTTTTGAATTAAAAGAAGATGCAAATTTATCAAGACCAGTTCAAATTGATTTACAAAGTTTATTTAATGTATTTGGTAATATTACTGATTTTGTTGAGTTAAATCTCACAGGTAATTTACCTTTGAATCAAATGAATCGTCTTGTTTGGAAAACAGATAACAATGAATCATCTTATTGGAAATCAAAAGGTATGTAACAGAGAAAAGTTTATACTTAATTCATATGTATATTTTTCTATATTTTAGATTCCAGTCCATTAAAAAGTACAATAGTGACACTTAATCCTATGCAAATCAAAACTTTTCAAGTTACATTACAATAAATTAAATTTAAGAACATTATTTAATCTTTTCGCTTTTTAATTCAAATAAATATAATATCCAGAACTTTCATTAATAGCATGTTTGACATTACGAATAGCATATGACAAAGGTTTTTTACTTAGATCTTCAGGTACTAGAGTTGCTGTAGGTATAGCTTTGGTGTAGTTGAAAAGAGTTTGTATTATATTGAATAAATACTAATGAAAACATTCTCTTTTTCTTACTGAATACAATAATTCTTTGCAATGTTGAAAATAACTATTCCTCACAAATATTTCACTTTTTGAAAATATACTAATACCACTTGTATCTTAACTTTATCACATAATCATCTATACATTTTTCGCGGAATAGAATCAGAAAGATTAGAAGAAATTAAATCGATATCAAATTTTGACTTACTGATGTGTGAATAAATGCATCTGTTATATTTCAATTATATTGACTTAAGATATTATCTATGTTTTAAAAATAAAAACACGTATTTTTTCACTATAGTCTGCTATTTTAAAATCAACTATGACTACAATCAATATCTACTGCTACGTCGTTTTCATTATTCTCAGGTAAATAATTATTCATTTTTATCATTCATTTTGTTAACATTCATTGGTTTTCTATTTTAGTATAAAAGGTTTGATTTTTATTCTGTTTTATATGTTTATATGTATTAGTTTATAACTTTCGTAGTTCAAAACAAATCTCAAATATGTAAGAACACAACGCAATATGGTGAATGTTCCACAAACAGTGCATGTGGATGCTTTCATGTAATAGGTGCTAAGAACGATACAGGCATTTGTGGTTTTCGCTGATTAGCATGTTCTCATCTTGTACTGTGTAATTCATCAGGCTATTCATGTTCTCAACCTAATACGACGTGTGTTCAACATCCACAATGTAATGATCTTCCTGTATGTTATCCAGTTACAGTGACCGATCAAAGTATCTGTCCACCAATGAAAAGTGAGTGAATCGGTGGATGATAGATGCAACACTCTTATTCACACTCTCAAGATATTTGAAACTACAAATATGATCTGTTTTAGATAAGACAAATCTTGAATGGAAGCAAAATGCCATCACTGTAGCTGGTGGAAATGGAGAAGGACAAGAATTAAATCAACTCAATATCCCTCATGGAATCTTTATTGATAAAAAACAAAAATATTTTCATTGCTGATTCTGGCAATCATCGTATTGTTGAATGGAAATATAATGCAGAAGAAGGACAAATCATTGCAGGTGGAAATGGACAAGGAAATCAAACGAATCAATTGAATTATTCATCAGCTGTGATTGTTGATCAACAGAATCATTCGATCATCATTGCTGATCGTTGGAACAGACGAGTAATCCAATTGTTGAATCAAACACAGCACATTCTCATTGAGAATATTGACTGTTATGGTTTGACAATGGATAAAAATGGATTTCTTTATGTTTCTGACTGGATTAAGGGTGAAGTGAGACGATGGAAAATGGGAGAATATAACAATGAAGGAATTATAGTGGCAGGTGGAAATGGAAGAGGGAATCAACTCAATCAATTAAATGATCCTACTTTTATCTTTGTTGATGAAGATCAATCTGTTTATGTATCAGATAGGAACAACCATCGTGTGATGAAATGGAAAAAAGATGCAACAGAAGGAATAGTTGTGGCTGGAGGAAATGGTGAAGGAGGAAATCTGAATCAATTGTCTTTTCCTACAGGAGTAGTTGTTGATGATTTAGGTCAAATCTATGTGACGGACAATGGGAATCATCGAGTGATGCGTTGGTGTGAAGGAAAAGAAGAGGGTGAAATTGTTGTTGGTGGAAATGGTCAAGGAAATCAATCAAATCAATTCAATAATCCTGGTAGTTTATCTTTTGATGATGAAGGAAACCTTTATGTCGCTGATATTTTTACTTATCGAATTCAAAAATTTGAAGTAATTTTGTGAATGAAACTTTGATTTTAAGAAAAAGAAAAGAAATGTTTCGTGGAATAAAAAATCGAAAAATAAAAATAAAATAAAAAATAAAACTTCAAGAAAAAGAAATTGAAGGCGGGCGTGGATGTGAGTTTAGGTATTATATACTGATATTATATCCACACTCACATCTATTCTCAGGACTTATGGATCGGAGAATAATATTTTAAGTAGAAAAAGTAAACTAAGCAGATCAAATAGTTTCAATTGTTTTATCTAGAGAAAACGTTTTTTTTAAACAAAAGTATGTGTGCACTGTTACATGCACACATATCCACTTTTCTATCTTTTATCTATTTGAGTAGATGAGAAATAAAATGTCTGTGAGTTTCATTGCTATGCTCATTCTTTTTATCTTGCTCGGTAGAACTGTAAGTATCATTCACAATTTGAAATAGACAAGTTTCACATATGTGAAGATTTAGATATTTTCGAAACTATCAGTTTTCCTACAAAACAACTTGGAAACAAATACAACATCGTTAATTACGCTTTTAAAGATAGAACTAAATTTGTATAGTGTCAGATTTATAAAATGGTTTTGCGGTTTGTAAAATGCTAGGGAGAAGTTTCCAGTGAACAAAAAATATTTTAGAATAGTTTTAGATTTATCAATACTACCTATCTACTATAATTCTCTTATGGTTATTACTGTTCATGTCTTCAAACAATTATGATTATCATAGAAGTTCAACAATTAGGTTGTGCGCGTGAGTGTGTAAAGAAGAAAAAGAAAAACTTGTGTTCACTCACTCACACCCACTCCTATATCGAAAAAGTTTTTTGTTATTCAGCTGAAAAATTTTGAATTTTGAATTAATCAACAAGGTTGTATATTTCAAAAATATCTTATCAATAAGTACAAAATAAATATCTGATGCAAACAAAAATATAAGGTTATTTTTCTCGATATCACTAACAAAAATAAATTTGCTTTAATTAAATGTTAAATACTATGTAATCAAACAATATTTTCTTAATCGGTGTTGACAACGAAATTGTTGTGCGAGTTTATTCATAGGATCCCAATAATATTCTTTTAGTCTGATATGTTTGTCCACTGACGATGACTGATGAGGAAAGTATTGATGAACAACTAATCTGACAGAATTTTTCTTTTTCATGGTCAAATCATTTATCGTTGGGAAAGAAAAATTTTCCAATAAGTCTGGACTTGAACAAAGAGCTATGGAAAATATAAATTGTTGATCTTCATAAGATAAAGATGGGTAATTGGAATAATTTGTGTATTCATTTAAATCAATACAATAACAAATACGATTTAAATAATACATTATTTTTCCAATATCAGTAAGTGAAATTTTGACTCTTTCTATTAAATTATCAATTATAATTTGTTCTTAGTTTTGAGGAGCGAACTAGAATCATCGAGGAAGTACTGTAATTGCTCGAAAGAAAAAAAACGAAGAGTAAAATCTCGAAAAAATAACTAGTAGCAGTATATTACTATTGAAAATCATCTTTTTCCAATATTGAACGAAACGATCCTTGCTGACTGACGAGTTACTCTTTGATGACATTCTCTTTTGTAGGCTGTCACAGTTGCTTTAACAAAAGAGTCCATCAACCATATTGAGGCGTGTATAAAGGAAACCGCCAATTACATTCCCATTCCAACTTACATTTACATTCACACCCTCAGGATGGATTCAATTAAAAATAAGGATAATATTTTTAAATAAAATGTGTATGTGTAAGTTTTGATATTTAGATTTAAATTAAGGTTGGAACGTAGAAGAGCTAATTACTTTTATACATATTCTATAGACCTTACAGGAAATGTTACGCAGTAAGTGTCTGACATTGATTCATTTATACGATATAGAAGCAACTGTTAATTTATTTGCAACAAATACAACATCAAAAAGAAATTTTTTTTTGTATTACGAACAACAATAAGTCAATTTTAGTTCATGTTCTACACGTTTAAACAGCAGTATTACATTTTGTCGCCTCGAATAACGTTACTCGATTACCATTATGACGAGTATTATATGCTTGAGTTTGTGTGACATGTATGGTTACGTTATTATCATGATGTTTTAATTTGAGTATTCGAAAGAATTTTACACGATAAACACTACTAGAAAGAGTATAAAGAAAAAACGGAACAAAATAATCACATTGTTGCCAAGTGACAAAAGCTAATCGTAAACCTATTATGAATGGTGTTCGTGATGATAGCATAAATGTATTCATCAAATATATAATACCAAATGGGAGTGCAAAAATCATATGAACACTAATTTGAATTATTAACATTCGAGCCAACTGACTTTCTGTTCGACGATGTTGATTATTACCTGCTATGGGTCTTACTCGATTAAGTTGTTGTCGAATATTAGATATGGTCAAAATACCAAATACAGCCATGCTTATTGGTACTAAAATATAATAAAGAATAATCTGACCAAAAGTAAATATAGTCGTTAACAGATTAGAATATTGTGTACATAAATGTAATGTTGAATTAAAATCATAGATAAATATCATTGGTGACATGCATAGTGCGCATAAAAGTGAACCCAATATAATTGACCATCGTGCTACTCGTATATTACTCATTGAACGAAGTTTCACTGATATGGAACTTGAACAAAAACGATCGAACGAAGCTAAGATAAGCATAAGACTAGCTTGTAGAGGTAAAACAAATAAAAGAAAAGGATTCAATTTGCAACCGACCGTTGTATTTATCCATAAAATATTATATCGTCGTAAACTTTGTGTTGGGCATAGAATACAAGTATAAAGAATACTTGAAATTGAAAAACTAATAAAATAATAACTACAAGGTGATGATCGAAGTGTACGATCACGTAATATACATATATTTAAAATATTTGTAATCATAACAAGAATAAAAAGAATTGGTTGAACATAAATACTAGTTTGATCTACTCGTTCGGTAAGAGTACTCATATCAAAAGTTTTCTAATATAACAAATGAGAATAAACAACGTTTAAGCTCGTAAATATATAATATATTATATAGCCCATAGATACGAAATTAATTCATTAGAGAAAATCCTTCTTACCCTTATCTTCTTTTTGTAATGCGTAAATTAAAAAAACTAGGCAATAATTATAATATATAATCTTTTTTAAGAACATTCATAAACTACAAGAGATAAATTTAGAAGCAATTAAAATAAAAAAATGAATTTAAGATCATGCGCTAGGTGAGTTCTATTAAAAAGCCATAGGTGTTCGTAAGCTTTTCAAAAGTAATCTTCTCATAATTATCAATCATATCATCAAAAAAGTACTATCATGAAGAATGAATACTGGATACTTAGCGGATGATAGCGAAGTGAACACCCACACCCATTCTTGTTGGCTTGTTTTATGTCTAAATGTGCATTATTTCTAAAAGGACATTATTTATTTTTATTTTCAATATTTTACGCACTCAAATTATTTTTTTCACATGCTTAACAAATATGATTGGGATCAAAGAATTTCCTTTTATGACTTTTTAGATTTTTTTGTTGCCAGAATCTTCTTCATCCATTTATAAAAATGCTATTTTTCATTGTCATCTTAATCACAAAATTAATTTATACCTTGTGAATTAATGCATCGACTAATTCCTAATTGATATTTTTGTATTTTCTGTTTCTTTTCTCTGGATATATTTTCTCTCTCCTACGCCGTCTCCATTCTCTCCTTTTTCATTCTTTCTTATTATGTTTCTCATAATTTTTCTCTCATTCTGAATTAATTTCCGTTACAATCTTCAAAACTTTTATCTAACTATTATTTATTTAAAATTATTTTCATTCCGTCATTCATCTGTATATCATTTTTCTAATTTGGAAGCGAGACTTACAAAATGAATGTGTCTGACAATACAAATGTTACTAAACAAACTGAAACAGAGAGCCCATTTGAATTTATTTCCAAGGATGTATCATTCATATTATTACTAACCTTTGATATTCCATCTATTCTCATGCATCTTATCGTGTTTATTCTTATTTTTTTCAATAAAGCTCTTCGTTCGGCACCACATAATTATGTTATTTTATTTACATTATGCTATTCCTTTATCATAACCGCTTTTATGATTCCAACAGTAATAGATTCACATAGATTAAAACCAACTATGCATTGGACTCTTGCATCGTGTAAAACTAGATCATTTATTGAGACTTTGTCTTCTAATATGATGAATCTTTTAATTGCATGGGCATCGTTTGAACGACATCTTCTCATTTTTCATTTTAATCTATTAAATATAAAGTGGAAAAAGTTTTGTTTTCATTATATGCCGCCAATTCTCATCACCATTTATCTTTTCATATTTTATATTTATTCCAGCTTTTTCTTTCCATGTGAACAACAAGTAGATTTTGTCAATAATATATGTTATTATGGTTGTCAGTCAAGAGATCCATTATTGGGTATGTGGCAAACAAGTATGCATATCTTATCTCCAACGATATGTGTATTGATATGTAATGGTGCCCTTTTGTTTCGAGTTTATCGATCAAAAACTCGTCTTCAACGATCAATAAATTGGCGAAAATATCGATTAATGATCTTTCAACTTGTTTCTATTTCATGTCTCTATCTTTTATTTAATCTACCATTTGCGATTGCCTATTTATGGGTTTTAATAGCTCCGGCACCTTCCATAATCGCGTTACTGCAATGGGTTGGTTTTCTCACATATTTTATTTGGTTACTATTTCCTTTTGTGTGCTTGTATTCAATACCACAATTGGGATCGAAAATGAAGAAAATTCTACATCGTCGAATAGCGCCTGTTATTTAGGAAATGAAACCAAGAGTAGAAGAACAAAACTAAATAATATTTTGTCATTTTTTTCAATGTATTCATATAGTTTTATGTGTAAATGTTGTAAATCCTAGTGTATCGTTATTGGTATTGTATTTTGTTTCTTATCGTTTTTTCACCTTATATTCAAAATAAACCTATAGAT